TCCTGAGTAGCTGGGATTACAGGCACGTGCCACCATGCCCAGCTAATTTTTTGTATTTTTAGTAGAGACGGGGTTTCACCATGTTGACCAGGATGGTCTCGAGCTCTTGACCTCGTGATCCACCCGCCTCGGCCTCCCAAAGTGCTGGGATTACAGGCGTGAGCCACCGCGCCCGGCTTTTTCTTTTTGAGACTGTGTCTCCCTCTGTTACCCAGGCTGGAGTGCAGTGGTATGATCACATTTCACTGCAGTCTTGACCTCCAGGGCTCAAGAGACCCTCCCACCTCAGCATCCTGAGTAGCTGACACTTGGTAGAGACGGGGTCTCACTCACTATGTTACCCAGGCTGGTCTCGAACTCCTAGGCTCAAGCGATCCTCCTGCCTCAGCCTTCTGAAATGTTGGGATTACAGGCATGAGCCACCGCGCCTGGCCCGCCACCCAGTCTTGACTCTCTCTCCTCCCTCCCTCCAAGTGCTGCTGGCCTGTGTGTCCCGCCTGCTCAGGGCTGCCTCTGACTTGTGGCTTTTGACTTCAGGCCTAGGAGACACCCTTTGGATGGGTTAGGGAGCTCGTAAAGCAGGTGGGGGACACAGCAGGGACTGAATAAGGAGAGTGACATACTGCAGGCAGGGGTTGGGTGAGAGATGAAGGGTCCACTCATGTACACTGCCAGTGTGTGGCATCTATGTGTGTGTGTGTTTTTGTTTGTTTTGAGATGGAGTCTCGCTCTGTCACCCAGGCTAGAGTGCAGTGGCACAACCTTGGCTCCCTGCAATCCCCACCTCCCAGGATCAAGCAATTCCCTGATTCAGCCTCCTGAGTAGCTGGGATTACAGGTGCCTGCCACCATGCCCTGCTGATTTTTATATTTTTAGTAGAGACGGGGTTTCACCGTCTTGGCCAGGCTGGTCTTGAACTCCTGACCTCATGATCCACTCGCCTCAGCCTCCCAAAGTGCTGGGATTACAGGTTATGTGTTTCACGTGTGTCTTGTGGGTGTGTCCTGTGTGGGCTGTCTGCATCTGTGTATGACTCAGCCATGTGTCAGCACATCCCTGTCGATGTGTGTCTGCTGATGTGTTTGTCAGCATGCATGGCTCTGTCTGCAAATGTCTGTCTTGCATGTGTCTTTTTTTTTTTTTTTTTGAGACAGAGTCTCCCTCTGTCACCCAGGCTGGAGTGCAGTAGCATGATCTTG